GAGTGGGAGCAGACCAAGTTAGAAATCCCAGCTCTCCCATATTGGGGTGCTAGACTTTCTCAAAGTAAACATCACTTTGAATTTGACTTCAGCAAAGTGGTGTACTTTTTACTGTGCTTGTTCTTGGAGACAGTGGAACTGTTTGGCTGAGAGATTTCAGACTGAAGTACTTCAGACTGCAAGAAGTAACATTTGAGCACCTCAGAATAGTCTGGTAATGTACAGTCTTGGCTATTTTACAAGCATAATTATCAAATTGTTTAAATAAACATCTTTTACTCGCTTGCTGTTGTTTAAGTAATGTATTACTTGGCCTGTTTTTATTTAGTGTTTAACACTTTTTTTTTTTTTTCTTTTTTTCTTTCATTTATTTAGGAGCAATTGGATGTAGCACTCTCCAAAATATGCAAGAACTTTGATATCAGTCATTATACAAAAGCAGGCTTACAGGCTGCTTGGAAAAACACAGGTTAGTACTCATCTTTGGAGTAAGGCACAAAGAACAGTGGTGTAACAGTGTGAAGCTTTGAGTACTGTGATGGAAATTTATTTTCCTAATTGTCATGGTTTAATCCCAGCCGGCACCTAAGCCCCACACAGCCGCTCTCTCACTCCCCCCCAGTGGGATGGAGAGAGAATCAGAAGGGTAACAGTGAGAAAACTTGTGGGTTGAGATAAAGACGGTTTAATAGGTAAAGCAAAAGCTGCAAGCAAAGCAAAACAAGGAATTCATTCACTGTTTCCCATGGGCAGGCAGGAGTGCAGCCATCTCAGGAAAGCAGAGCTCCATCACTCGTAACGGTGACTTTGGAATACAAATGCCATCGCTCTGAATGTCCCCCCTTCCTCCTCCTTCCCCCAGCTTTACATGCTGAGCATGACGCCATATGGTATGGAATATCCCTTGGGTCAGTTGGGGTCAGCTGTCCCGGCTGTGTCCCCTCCCAACTCCTTGTGCATCCCCAGCCTCCTCGCGGGTGGGGTGAGGTGAGGAGCAGGACTCTGTGTGAGCACTGCTCAGCAGTAACGACAACATCCTGCTGTTATCGACGCTGCTTCCAGCACAAATCCAAACCATAGCCACATGCTAGCTAGTATGCAGAAAATTAACTCTATCCCAGCCAACACCAGCACACTAATGCTGATGAATCTTGCTGAGTATACAAAGGCTTTTATAATACTCAAGCAATTTAACGATACTTGCTAAAGATTAATGGTGTATTATTGTAACATGTACCTTTTTGGACATGGTATAATTGTAACAGTTCCATATTTCAGCTCTGTTTATAATGCTATTTGCATTATTAATTGTATTCGGGCATATAAGTTCTATTTTGTTGTAGATGGGTCTGTGTTACTGAGTTGTGCACAACCTATACCTTTACATGTGCATTCTCGTTTTATATTGTACTCAAATACGACAGGAGTGAAGACGTGAGGAGATTTTTTTTTGGTAACAAAATATGATACAAGGCATGTCAAACCTATACTGTGGACATGTCCTAAAAGTTCTATCTGTGTGTGCCTGGAACCTTTTTAACGTAAACTGGAGGAGGTCTAAACTCTCCGATAGGATGCTGTTCTCTTCTGTTGGTGCACTGCCTTGAGGCTTAGGATGGTTTCTCTGGGAAGGCAGTGAACTCATTTCCTTCTGAAGCAGATATGAAGTGTGAGAGCTAGTACCAAGCTCCTGTGAAGTAAAGGGGGGTAAGGAGACAAGAAAGCCCTGGAGGCATCATTTGTCAATGACCAGTGTTCATAACATAGTGAGGCTGAACATGGTGGTGCCAGTCTAGCAATGATGTTTTACTTAGAGAAGAGATTCCTCCAGAAAGCCTTAGGTGCTAAAGATCACATCAAAGTGCCTGTCCCCTGATGAATAAAGGACACGAATCCCGTTTGTGCTTTATTATGCTTGGATTTTTTTAATGTTGTTTCCCAGTATTCAGAACTGTGTCTGACATGAGAATGCCTTTTTTGGGTTTGTTTTTAAGTTTTTGTTTGTTTTTTGTTTCTTTCTAATTAGAACTTTTCTAGCAAACTTGAGTTCTTTTTCTGTGGCTTGACTGTGATAACAGTGTAGTTCTGCAATAGGATAGGAATGGATTTCTCTTCCCATACTTTGCCAATGTGCAGAATTATTGGAGTGCCTAAAGACTGAAACTTAAAATCAGGGGAGAACATTAATTAGACTTTTCCTTTGTCAGTGCATTGTATGCAATTTCTTTATTTACTGAACAAAAGTAGATATAATGCATTCACTTCTCCGAAGTCTAGTGCATATGTTGAGAAAGGCAGATTTTTTTTGTTGGAGAGGGATGAAGTTTCTGAACAAAAAAAAGTATTATTTGTTACTGCATGATTTTGCCTGTGCGATTGTCATGATAGTGTGACTTGTTTTTGACATTCTTTTTACTATTATTAAAGTATGTATTTTGAACTTCTCCTGAAAAGAATTTAGTTGCATCATTATTGAAATATCTCTCATTTTGACCCCTTCTCATTAAACAAAATGACAAGAACCTTCAGTGTCTTCAGTACTTTTCATATTTTCATTTATCATTCTGTTTTCTTTGACTAATTCAAGTTAGGACCGGTTACAGAAGATTGGTTGTTTGTGATAGGATTGAAGCAGAATTACTTCATTTCTTATGGGGGTGACTGAGTTCTCAGCTCTTGTCAGTAGCTAAGAATATCAAATAGCAAGTAGTGAAACTGAACATTTTCAAATCTGCAGGATCTGATAACTGCTTTCTGCTATATCAAATAATTTTTTAATCAATTCTTACATACTGTATTTATCAATTATTAGCATATGTTGAAACAGTGAGAAATTTCATTTTCTGAAATGGACTAAAGTTATGTATGGTTTATTAACAAAGGATCAATAGGATAACTCAAGAAACAGTCTGACCTGAAACTAACGCATGGTTATGGCAAAACTTATATAGTCATTAGTGTTCAGTACATGTACTGATACTTGTTTTTCTGGAAAAAGTAAGTTTTCTTAAACAGATGTAATTTTTTTTATTGGAAAGACAGTTTTTGTAAGAAATTTATTGATGATGTGCATGCCTTTCTGTAACACTTAATCCTACTTTATATTCTTCAAGGAAGAACTCGGTTTGGTGAGTGGGTTGTTTTAAGACTTTGTAAGTGTGGTTTTAGTTTTATTAATTCCAAAGGAAATATTTCTGGTTTAGTTGGAAGTGTTTCCAGTGAGAAAACCAGCACTGTTCTCAACTAATTTTTTTTTTTGACACATTCATCAATGATTGAGAGGGTAAATGAATGAATGAGTAAATTCTATAATTAAATATATTATATAGATGTAAAATTAATATTTACTACTGATGATGTCAAAAAAATGATGATTTACAGAGGGAGAATGGCAAGGGAAACTGATTTTCATGGTGATACCTGAACTCTTTTATGTTACCATATTGTAATATTGCCAAGTCCTATGTTTGATATTTTTGAGGCCATACTTACATTCACCTGTGTTGACTACTGAAAAGACATTAAAAGATGATGGCATATGGCAAATTGAATTTTACTATTTGATTTTGTTATTCCTTTTCTTTCAGACAGCAATGGACCAGTTACATATGCACTTCACTCAAGCAATTCACAACACTGTGTTTCAAGTAGTCCTTGGATATGTGGAGCTGTGTGCAGGAAACACAGACACCAAATTTCAGAAGTTACAGTACAAAGACCTCTGTACAGTATGTAATTGTTGCATATATGTATATTTTTTTAATCTGAATTTTTCCACTGTTGTAAGTGTACCTTATGTAAGTAGGGACTCAGTTATTAAAATAACCCTGCAGCTACTATAGTTTCTTAATACCACTGATAGGCTAATTGAAGATTGGTTATTCACAACTTAATGCTGAATTTGATTACACTGAATCTTAGCACTTTGGTGTTAGTGTACACACCATTTAAATAAATGTAAGGAAGTGTATTGTAGGATACAAACAGGAGACTAATTCAAAAGTCCCATGTCTTCAGTATAATATGCTAGTTACTGGAATCACTGTTAACTTTGAACTTCATTCCAGTGCATTGCAGTATTCACAATTTATATAATACTGCATTTCAGAAAGGACTTTTGTAAAGATACTAACTTAATTGGAGTCTTCCTATTACTCCTAACTTTGCATCAGATTCATTGAGCTTTCGGTATCAAGAAAAGGGACTGCTGTAATACTGAGATGCAAAAGCCTGATGATAGGCAGATCATGGACTGGGAATAACTGTGCATTTTCCTCTAGCATAGATTTTTAGATGCAGTTTCTTGCATGTGTGTATTTTGTTTAATTTTTTTAATGTTATTAGAATTAATTACTGTATTTTGAGTAATATTTTTAGTTCACTCTCTAATTCTTTCACTCTGATTTTACGGTTACACCCTGAGAAATTTTCTTTAACTTTGGCAGTGGGGAGGGAGAGTGTGAGATATTTTGGATGGTTCTAACATTGATTTAAAATTGAAAATTATCTTTCTATCTTGAATGTTCTTTACGATGTTTGTTTCGGTCACAGGGCAAGCCCTCATCATCTACTCAAGAATCCACCCCATCAGTTGCAATTTATTCAATCAAAGCACAGTCACAATGAGATTTAAGTTCATATTCTGATCCATTTTCTGCTGTTTCACTTCTCAAGTCTCCTGGGTTTGTGTAGCTTCATCTAGTAAACAACACATGTGCATTGAAAAACATTTCATTTTAAAGAGGTGCTGCTTTGACTTAAAAGACTTACATAATCTAAGAGCCTTCATATGAGCAGAAGTGGGTTATCAAAAATTAATTTATTGGGAGTAATTGGCATGTATTATTGAATAGAATGAGCAAGGTTCCAGGCAGGTGGTGTTTACACTTCACTGAGATGAATTAGTTGAAGAAAGCCAGCAAACCCTGATCTCTGTTCTCTGGACTGCAGCCTTTTCATATTTCTGCTTTAAGCCTTCAGAGGGTGGTTTTCTTTTCATTTCTTAATTTCTAATGCACTTTTCCTCTTGAGTTTTTTACTTTATACTTCTGTATGCCCTTCAGTTTATTTCTCATTCTTTGCTAATATTTATGATACTAAACCCATTTATTTACACTTACAAACAGTACTACTGAGCTCCTTCTGATATCTTCTAAAATATGAATTGTGTGCTGCTGTTGATGCTTACCCTTTACAGTGCGGAAGGATCTTTCAGATCACTGGAAATACCACATTTCGTAATACACAAAAAGAGACTAGCTTTAACTGCATGGTTACAAAATTATTAGATCATTATTTCTATTTGGTTTTCCTTCTGTAAATCTTCATGAGATGCTTCGGTAGTTATGTGAGCCTCCAATAGCTGGAATCTGGCAGTCTGTATAAAGGAAAGTCCTCATACTTTGGGACTATAATATATTATGAATACTGCTGTAATTTCCTTGAAATTTACTGATTTTTAAAATTTTTCATTACTCTCTTGGTAACGATTAAGTATTTAGGGACAGGGTGCAGATTGGAAATTTTGATCTCTGTTACAAGCCATGCTGTTCAGTGTTGGTTGTTACCTGTTGCAGTAGATTTGTGAAATCAGAATGCTAAATAAGCTGGTCTATCATAGCAATTCCATTTCTAACTTCCTGTAGTAAAAATGCCAACAATTTTTCATGTCTTGCGTTCAGTTGTCAGGGAATAAATTGTTTAAAATATGAGCCTTCATGCTCTGTGTCTAATTTCAGTGAGAGCCCTCTTCAATCTGTCTACACTGTTAAGCCAGGATGCTCTTAACATATAAGTGGTTATGGAGTACTTACTGTAATCAAATAATGGAAGTCATATAAAATTAAAGTCTTCCTTTTGGGGCAGATCTCCTGTTGTGTGTTTCTAAAAATCTTTCTAAATGAACTCATTTAGCTCATTTCCATTTTAAGTAGTGGGGGACTATAGTGGGTTGTGGGTTTTTTTTTTCCCCTCTAATTTTTGTTTGTTTCTTTTCTGGAAGTCACATACTGGATTTTATAATAATGTGCGGGTTTTTTTTAAAGAATAATGTCAGAATTCTTAGGCATTTATGTAAGTTCTGTGCTTGTGCACTCGGAGTCACTGTTTCCTTCTTCAGCAATTGTTTTCCTACCAACGTGCTATGCTCTAATTCTTACATCCTTTCTCCTTTTGAATACTACTGGAGCAGGGGAGAGTTTGGCTGCTTCATCTTCAAGTTTTGATTTTCTTCGTTCTAACATAAGTTCAAAGAAATTAAATTGTTTATTTCCTTAGTGTAAATGGAATTATCTTCGTATTTAGTAGATGATCCTTTCTTCCTGGCCACCTAGAAGCCAGTATGTCTTCAAGTATAATGATCTGCACAACCGAAGTTTAGCTTTTATAGCTACTAAAAGCCCTGGAATACAGTTAGAGTAATATTGGCTGATGAGTTGGCAGAGAAAATTGCTGAAACAGCTGCTGAAATGGCAGGACAACTTATTGTTTAAATGATAAACTTCTTAACCTATTTTGTTCCCTTGTTAGCAAAGGTCTATAGTATCTGAAATTAAAGTGTCTCAGTAATACAGTCACTAATGTCTATAAACTCTCCAATTAAAGGGTGTTTTAGAAAAGAAGAAATGTTCTCAATCGTTACTGTGTTTTAATGTACTAAGAACTTGAATTTTTCTTTTTTTGTTGATGTGCCCAGGATGCCTAATTTATATCCTTGAGACTACTCTGGTTTGATAGGGAACAGAACCAGAATAATAATTCACTTAAAAAAATGAAGCAAAGTGAGAAGACATAATGATTAATATGATGCCTCTGGACACTTTTGCTAGTGACATCTATTAATGCTGAAGAACAGTTTTTGTAAGTCCTTAATCATAAGCAGAGTGTAGGAAAATATGGATTGAGTGGTATGTGCTACTGCCAGGAGCATTATTTAAGCTTAGGAAGCACGAGAACATGATTAAATAGAAACTAAAGACATGCAGTTTATAATTTTTTTTTTTAACCTGAAAGCTGAAAAATAAGAGGGATGTGATGCGTCTGCATTTGCAAAGCAATCTGTCCAGTCTAATGCTTATTCTCCAGCAAATGTAATATTCAAGCTTGTCAAAGTTTTGTCACAATTAGTTGCTCAGGAAGGACATTGAGTGTTTAGAAAACCATAGTTACATCAGTGGATGAGGATGCAGTTCAGAGGGAATTGATTGCTTTGATTAAGGGTTTGCTCTCTGTAGAGTCCACGGTTGATTATTTTGGTGGTTGTGTTGACATCACTGTTGCAGGTGTTATAATCTTCTAAGAGTTTTGTTGTAACTGCAATGCCAAAGCTTTTATATCGTCTTGGATACACATTTTTGGGCTAGCAGGCAGTACCCACATGGTAAAAGCTAACTAGACTTGCGGAAGTCAACTGTGGACACTGAAGGAGCAATGGGAAAGTATGAACTGTTTTCTTCAACAGTGTTAGTTTGAAGTGCTAATTTCCAGACTTCTCTGAGAACCTTTAAATAATAATGTAATTGAAATCACATTTGTGCAGCTGGACTTTGCCCTTGTTTATAAGCTGTGAGACTGTGCTTCTTCACAGCAAGTGGGATGAGGGTGACTTGCCATTTCCACTCCGATAAGCAATACATTTTACAGTCTTTTCTTTACCCTGCAAGACCCCTTCTCAAATTCATCCCTTTTACTAACAATCTCGTCTTAGATATTTCTGCTGTGTATCTATGTCTGTGATAAAATTGATACTCTTCACCTACTGACTATCTTAAGTCACAATTGGCTTTTTGGAGCAGGTGGATCGGGGAGGTAGGACAGTTGCCACCTAAGTTTGGGTTTTTTTAAACTACTTCTTTATACAGCATTCAATCCAATGGGGCACCAGCCAGGATGGCTTCTATGTACTACTGAAGTACAAGTGTCTATATTATTGAACTGATGCAGTGTCTGCATGTCACGGGTGGCTGCGTCCCTCTTTGATAGTAAGATATGCTGACCATTAGATGCTATGGCTTTACATCTGTATGTACCTTGCTGTTCCATAAATATAAGACATGGTTAATATATGGGCCAATTTGAAAAAAAAAAAGAAAAAAAGAAAAAAAGAAAAGGCACTAACAAATAAACTTTGCACTTTTAGACAGTATTTGGTTAGTTGACTAAAACCAGCCATTTGTCAGCTCTCAAATACTTTTGAAAAGGAAACTGATATATGTCAAGCACCTCAGCTGTGTGAATATGGAGGGTTTTGGATCATTTGTTTTGCGTCTGCAAAAATGAACACAATTGTTAAGTTTCACAGTATTATTTTGTTTTTCTGTAGCATATTACATCGGACAGCTACATTCCATGCCTTGCTGATCTCTGCAAAGCCCTCTGGGAAGTCATGCTCAGTTACTACCGAACGATGCAGTGGCATGAGAATCATGACCAAGATAAAGCAGCAGCTGTGTCTTCTGGTAAGAAACTGTTCTGGAAGCAAAACTTCTGATATTTGGAAATAACTTTTCTTGTGCTCAAGTTGTTAATTTGTGTATCGGTACCTTTGTGGTCTTGACTCAGTGCCTTCAGCATTATTGTTTATAGTGTGCAATAAGGACTTAAAAACTTACTGGATTTTTGTAGTCTTCAGTATGAGGTTCATTTTTAATAAATATGTGTATGTACTGTTATTACAGATATAACAGTTTTATTTTAAACAGTGCTTATTGTTGAGTTGGAAGTCAGCTGTGGTA